ATTTAACACCCATTCGTGATTAAGAATTCTTAACCAATTCAGTATAAAAGAAATGTATCTAGGAGCACCTGGGTGGCTCAGTCAGCTGATCATCCTATATTAGCTCAGGTCATGATCTCATGGTTCATGAGTTCGAGCCCTGTGTTGGGCTCTGTGTAGACAAGCTCAGAGCCTGGAGCCTACTTCGAATTCTGTGTCTCCCTCTCTCTCTGCCCTCCCCTGCTTGTGCTCTCTCTCGCTCTTGAAAGTTTAAAAAAAAAAATTTTTTTTTAAATAAAAAAAAATTTGAAATGTGGGTGCCTGGGTGGCTCAGTCAGTTGAGCAACTGACTTCAGCTTGGGTCATGATCTCCCAGTTTATGGGTTCGAGCCCCACGTCAGGCTCTGTGTGGACAAGCTCGGAGCCTGGAGCCTGCTTCGGATTCTGTGTCTCCTTCTCTCTCTGCCCCTCCCCCACTCACATTCTGTCTCTCTCTCTCTCTCTCAAAAATAAACATTTAAAAAATGTTTTAAAAAAAGAAATGTACCTCAACTGAATAAAGGCCATACATGACAAGCCCACAGCTAAACTCACATTCAATGGCAACAGGTTGAAAGCTTTTCTTCTAAGATTAGGAACAGGACAAAGATGCCCACTCTCACCACCCCTATTCAACCTAGTATTGAAAATCCTAGACTCCACCAAAAACAGACCAAATCAATGAATTCAATAAAGTTAAGGATACAAAATTAACATACAAAAATTAGTAGTATTTCTATACAGTAACAATGAATTCTCTGAAAAAGAAATAAAGAAAATGATCCTATTTACAACAGCATCAAAAACAAGGAAATACTTAGGCATAAACTTAATGAAGGAAGTAAAAGATCTCTAACCTGCAAACTACAGTGATAAAAGAAATTGAAGACACAAATAAAGGGAAAGGTATCCCACATTCATGGATTGGAAGAATATTGTTAAAATGTCCTACTACCCAACCACCATATATAGAATCGGTGTAATCCGTATCAAGATTCCAACGGCATTTTTTATGGAAGTAGGAAAAAAAAAACAATTCTAAAATCTGTATTTAACCACAAAGGCCCCTGAGCAGCCAAAATAATCTTGAGAAAGAACAAAGTGGGAAGCATCACACTTCCTGATTTCAAGCTACATTATTAAGCCATAGTTATTAAAACAGTCTGATTGGCCTAAAAACAGATACATAGACTAATGGACCAGAATCAAGAGCCCAGAAATAAATCTATGCATGTGTGGTCAACTAGTATTTCACAAAGGAGCCAAGAATACTCAATAAAGACAAGACAGTCTCTTCAATAATGCCCAGCGCTGGGGAAACTGGACAGTCGCATGTAAAAGAGTGAAACTGAATGCCTATCTTACACAACTCACAAGAATTAACTTGAAATGAATTAAACACTTAAATGTAAGACTTGAAACTGTAAAACTCCTAGAAGAAAACATAGGGAAAAAAACTCCTGGACATGGGTCTTGGCAATGATTTTTTAGGTATGAAACCCAAAGCACAAGCAACAAAATAAAAAATAAGTATGTGAGACTCTGTCAAATTAAAAAGCTTCTGCACAGCAAAAGAAACCATCAGCAAAATGGAAAGACCTATGAAATGGGATTTGCAAACCACATACCAGATAAGGAGTTAATATCCAAAATATATAAAGAACTCATACCACTCAAAACACACGTGCACGCGTGCGCGCGCGCGCACACACACACACACACTAAAAACCCAAATAATCCAATTTTAAAAACAGGTAAAGGACCCAAACAGACATTTTTCCAAAGATACACGTGGCCAACAGGTACATAAGAAAGTCCTCAACATCACTAATTAACAGGGAAATTCAACACAAAACCATAACAAGATATCGCCTCACACCTGTTAGAATGGCCATCATTAAGAAGACAAGAGGTAACAAATGCTGGTGAGGAAATGGAGAACAGGAAACCCTTGTGCACTGTTGGTGGGACTGTAAAATGGTGCAGCCACTGTGAAGAACAGGATGGAGGTTCCTCAAAAGTTAAAAATAGAACCACCATATGATTCAGCATTCCTACCTTTGGTAACGTATCTAAAGGAAACAAAAACACTATGTCAAAGAGCTTTCTGCACCCCATGTTCACTGAGCATTAGTCACAAAAGCCAAGACATGGAAACAACCCAAGTGTCCATTGACAGGTGAATGGATAAAGAGGCTGTGGTATACACTCTCTCTCTCTCTCTCTCTCTCTCTCTCTCTCTCTCTCTCTCTCTCTCTCTGTCTCTCCCCCCCACACACACACACATGGTATGAAATATGTATATTACACACATATAACATGGAATAGTACTCAACCATAAGGAAGAAGGAAATCCTGCTGTTTGTGACTCATGGATGGAATTTGAGGGCATTATGCTAAGTGAAATAAGCCAGACAGACATAGAGAAATACTGCATGATCTCATACATGCCATCTACAATCTATTAAAAAAGAGCCCAAGAGTGAGAGAGCGATAGACAAACTAACTCATAAAGATCAGATTTGTGGTTACCAGAGGAAGGGGCTTGGATGAGAGAATTGGATGAATGTGGTCAAAAGGTAAAAATGTCCAATTTGTCTAGAATAAATCAGTACCAGGGAGGTACTGCACAGCACGATGACAGTTAACACTACGGCAGGACCACGTGAAAGTCGTTAAGAGAGTAAATACTAAGAGTTCTAATCACAAAGACAAAACTGTTTTCGTTCTCTTATTTTTGTACCTGCAGGAGACGACAGATGGTAACTAAATTTATTGTGGTGATCATTTCACAATACATAGAAGTCAAGTTATTGTACTGTATACCTGGGGCTTACCCAGTACTGTATGTCAATTATATCTTAATAAAACTGGGAAAAGGAAATGACACAGAGTTATAAACATTATTAAATTTTATTAACAAAAACTTTGTACATTTTCTTTAATACATGTGGAATTTTACATCTAGGTAAAATAACAACACATTCAAAATTTACCATTTATACAAATTGTTACAGAATAACAACCAGTGGGTTAAATAAGTAAAATAAACCACACCGATTTTTTTAATTATCTACAAAAGATTTGACTTTCTTTAAAATTCCCCTGAACATATAAAAATAAATTAATTTTACTTTTCAATTAAATCTACCAATTAGAAATATTACAAATCAAAATATCAATGTTATGAATTTTTCACAATACAAAACAGATTCACAAAACCTTATTTACAGAAATGAGGTAAGAACTGTGCAATGTTTAACCAAGAGACATATTGCAGAATTAACATGTTCTTCCAGCTAAGTACACAGTGGAGGTCTAATTACAGCTGGGTCTTTTCCACTAATAATTCACACATTTGAGAACAGTTCAGTGATTACATCCCCAATTGTTTAATTTCTACTCTGCCATACCGTCACCCCAGGGGCGTGGCTACCCCAAGTGTAAGGACTGTAAATACAGATTTCACCTGTTTCAGGAACTGCAGTTGTTCGGTCTGTTTGAAATCACTGTCAGTAAACGGGAAGTTGTTTAAATTAACAACAACAACAAAAAAAAACAAAGTAAAAAAAATAAACTAAAAACCTTACCAAATCCACTCATTTTTCTTGTGACTCATTAGTGGATAAACACCCAGGTAATAGTTTTGCCTGAGCTATCTACAGTGGCATAGAAAGTTTTCAATCAAGGCAGAAGCACGGGGAAGGCTGCTGTGCGGCACCGACTGCTCCCACTACTCACAGGACTGACGACGCTGCAGGCTCGGCTGTCCAGAGCCGTTTCAACACAACGGAGGTACGAACAGGCACTTGATTCAGGCCAAACCCTGCCAGCAGTTTCCAGAGTGGCCCCTCTTTCTGAAAGAAATCTTTCACTTTGAATTGATCTGGTTCCCCCAGCAGCCTTAGAACTCACTTAACTCAAAATATGAGTAGTTAACTTTAAAACACGAGTAGGTCTAAGCACTTTAAAAAAAAAAAAAAAAAAGTGTTTAGCAAAAGAAAATTACCTTTAGCAGAAGCAGACATTACCAGCCTAACTTGATTACCAAAATTGGCCAAATCCCAACATAAAGAAAAATTTTAGAACAAAGATTGCCAAGTCTCAGTTGATGACCTATTAATTTGCAATATTTAACCAACAAAACTCCAATAGAAGAAATTGGGACAGTTCCTTAAAATCTGTCTTAAGATCGGACTCACAGAGCAAGCATACTGTAACCCAAACAAAAGACTGTATTTCATATTCCAACTTGTACAACAAAATCAAAGTTTATAATGGAACACGTCTTTAGTTTTGCTGTTCATCTCTCCAATTTATAACAAAATGAGTTGTGCACCAACTATATTAAATTTCTCTTAGGTTGATAAATTCATTGCATGTAAATTATTTCATTGACAAAAGTTAGTTATTAAATTTTTTTCTCAAAGTTCAAAAAAATCTGGGTTGAGGGATGGGGGGCATGGAAATTCCATTTCAGTGCAACAAAGCAACAAGAAAATTAATCAAAGCCTTACAAGAATGTCCTTGTGGCAATTAATCCTTTGCTGTGCAGTTCATTTCTTGTCGCATTTCTTCATAGGTGTAGGAGGGCTGCAATGGCAGCCAGATCAAGTGCTAGAGCAGCAGGAGAGGCAATTTCTAGAGGTTTCTCAAGTGTCAACTTTTCTCTTGAGTGACAGGCCCAGTTTTATCACTAAGTCTCTGCAGTTAAACAAAATCAAAGGCATTAGCTAAACGAATTTGTGGCCCACACTTGAGGTAACCTTCTCTTAAACTGGGATTAAAACTGAGATAAATGGTGGTACATATGGTTATTCCAATCTTCTACAAGTTGGCATGACTACTTCTCCGCACAATATAAAGACATGAATTTACTGATAAACATTATTGGCTGCTTTATATTAACTTCAGCAGGGCACAAAGACAGAAGTGCCCACCTGAAGGTCAGAAGTAGAGAACGGATGTAAATATCATCCCCCAAATTGACTTTTTCCACAAAAGTAGTAACACGGTGTTGTAGAAAATGAACGAAGAAAGTCATAGTTCTGATCCCACATGTCCTATTTGTCCCTTAAGCTTTAATCTCTTTGAGTCTCCTTTTTACGATCTATAAAAAAATGTTAAAGTCTTCAAAGACTGAAATCACATATACTATTGCATCTAACGGAGATAACATTATAACACAGAGTAGGGTACTCAGAAATATTATTTCCCAGCCTTGCTTTTCTCCCATTAGGTCATACTGCTTATTTTCCTTATTTACTATTGTGGTTTTCCATTATTTTAAAACCAAAAGCTTTTCCATTAAAATATGCATTCCATTAGAAAATGCATCCCGGTACAACTCAGGAAAGGGCAGCTTATAAATCCATGCGCACCTCGTTTTGTTGCGCTTCGCTTTATTGCGCCCCCCCCCCTCAAACTGAAGGTCTGTAGCAACCTTGTGTCAACCAAGTCTGTTGCTGCTATTTTCCAACAGCATTTGCTCAATTCGTATCTCTGTGCCACATTTTAGTAATTCTTGCAGTATTTCAAACTTTCTCATTATTATTATAATCGTCAAGGGGGTCTGTGATCAGTGATTACAACTTGCCGAAAGCTCAGATGTTAGCACTTTTCCAGCAATGAAAAGCAGTTTCGATTTAAGGTATGTACTTTGTTCTCTTAGACATAATGCTGCCGCACACCTAACAGACTACGGTATAGTGTAATTTTTATATGCCCTGGGAGCAAAACAATTCATTTGACTCACTTTGTTATTGTTACAGTATTTGCTTTGTTGCAGTGGTTAACAGTGGCACTGAACTCCCACTACCTTCAGGGTAAACCCGTAATTTGCTTTTTTAACACAAGAAAAAATTGAGAAAGGAGAAAAACGGTGTAAGAAGTTCCTACATGAATACAGAATCACTGAAATTTCCCACGTCTGGGAAACACTGGAGAGGTGACTAGGTTTGTGATAATGACAGTATTCACCATCAGGAAGTCAGAGAAACAGTGGGGCAAAGGCACCGAAGAGTTGATGACAACCAATAAACCTGTATTTTGAACCAACTCTTGTTCACTAAAGACAGACTAAAGCTTCTGAGGACGAACAACACAGTAAACAGCAAGCTTTCAAAGTGACAGAAAAGAGCAAACATGGTGACTTTCCACACCGTTATCTGCCAAGTGTCCCACCTCATTGTTTCCCTTCTTCCTTTTCCTGACGTCCAGTCTCCATTCTCTATCCCAATATCCTTCCTCTAACACGGCTCTGCCCTGAACTCGAATTTAGGGGAAACATTTATACTCCAGTAAAGTAGACCTGATTGAAGGGGGGAATTAATAGAAAGAAACAGCCTCTAAATGTGTGCTGCTATATGGACAGTACACTGTCCCTGCATTTATTTTTAATTTATCTTCACGTGTACGGTGAAAGGGTAAGATGCTGTCAGTTAAAGGAAATTAATAAAAAATTTAAATTCCATTACAAGTGTGATTATGATTTACTTTCTTTTTAAAATTCATCTGGCAGAGTAACTGGAGTGCCCTAAAATTTATGCATTAATCTTATTATAAATATAATTCAGTTTTAGAAAGTACTTTAAAGCAAAATAGGGGCGCCTGGGTGGCGCAGTCGGTTAAGCGTCCGACTTCAGCCAGGTCACGATCTCGCGGTCCGTGAGTTCGAGCCCCGCGTCGGGCTCTGGGCTGATGGCTCAGAGCCTGGAGCCTGTTTCCGATTCTGTGTCTCCCTCTCTCTCTGCCCCTCCCCCGTTCATGCTCTGTCTCTCTCTGTCCCAAAAATAAATAAACGTTGAAAAAAAAAAAAAAAAAAAAAAGCAAAATAATAAAAATATTCCAAAATTATCTAGACTGGTTTTATAATTACAGATTAATTAGACAGAGATCCTCAAAAAACCCCAACTATTAACTTTTGAATGGACTGTCCCATACCACTTACTACATAGCTAAAATACATTTTCATTTTCAAATTGCTAAATTATAAAACGTCCTTCAAACCATATGCACAAATTTAAACCAATATACTCAGGGGACATAGAAACTGGCTTGGGTCCTTCATGTTTACACTGGCCAGCTGCTGAAACAACTGGTTTTAAGATGAAATTATCAGGGGAATAATACGTCTAAAAAACAGTAAGAGAGGAAAACTAGAGACAGTCATCTCTGATTAATCAATACAATTCTTTTCCTAATTCCACGAGACAGAATAAAGCAAAGACACTTACCGTTACTTTCTGACTTGCACCGTCGCCGTGGATGGTGAGGAAGGGGTTGGTGGTCGCGGGGTGAAGCGGCGGCGCCTGGGTGCCCGCGAGCAGGTTGTTGATCGGTATTTGCGTGGGCCCAGGCATCTGGAGCTGCTGTAGCTCAGGCTGGTGGTGCTGCTGGTGGTGGTGCTGTTGCATCAACTGATACAGAAGGGCCTGATGTTGTTCCTTAGGGAAGAACACGTGTGACAAGATGAGTTCCCAGGCACAGAATTCAGCAGGCAGTGAAGCCTGATTTTCTGTTTTCTTCTTTACATTAGATAATACTAGATATTTAAATAGAGGTCACATTCATACTACTAAGAAAGAAAACGAGCATCTCATCCAGAAAAATACACTGCACTAGGTAATAACCATCTGCTATAAAATGTCTGTATTATTAGCGAATGGCGTATTTTCAAAACAGGGCAAACCAATATAGGAGATCTCTATTCAAATTAGGTTATCCATGATAATGAAGGGCAGCAGCAGCCTAGAAGTCACAAGTTATCCGGATCTGACTTCAGAAGGTGGGCCATTCTCATTCTCAATTCTGGGAACCTAAAGACACTTTCCAATTTCTCATTCATGTCAACAGAGAGTGCTCTCTTGCTGTAGTTATGAGACTATTCTTTGCAGCAAATATGTATTTTATTTCTCGAGTGTTTTACTATGTGCCAGCCAATGTTTTGAGACATATCAGTGGGGGGAAAAAATCTCTGCCCTCTGTGTCTCAGCCTGGTGGGGGGAAGAGGGAGAGACAAACAAAAATGTTACCATGTGATTATTGGTAAGGATCCGGGTAAACAGGAGGGTAAGACAGTACGGCAGGGGTGAAAGTCTGAAACACACTGGTCAGGGCAGTTCGCACTTAGACAAGGACTTGGGAGGCAAGGAGGGAATTCGCTACGTGGGTATGGGGGAAGGGAGGGGACTTCTAGGCCGATGAAGCAGCCAGTGCTAAGGAGCGATGTGGGGGTATACCCAGTGTGATCAGGGAACAGCCAGGGGCCCCGGGGCAGGCAAGAGACAAGTGCACAAGTAGGACACGTGGGAAATGTGGGCCTCACGGTGGTAGGCCGTGAACACTCTGGCTTCTGCTCAGAGGAATATGGGAAGCCGAGGAAGGATGCAGTCTGACTTGGGACTTCTTGATGGATTCAATGTGAGGCATCAGACAAGAATGAAGGAGGACTGCAAGGTTTTTGGCTTGAGCAGCTACAAGTACGGTGCTGGCTTTGGCTAAGGTAGGCAAAACTATGGGTGGAGCAGGTTTGTAATAGATCAGCAGTGCAGTGTTGGACGTGTTATGCTTGAAATGTCCGTTAAAATACCCAAGTGGAGATCTCAAATAAGCAGCTGGATACAGGAGTCTGAAATTCCAGAGAGGGGCCTGGGCTGACGAGGGAACATCCACACATATTTCAAGCTGGAATGCAGGATGGGATTTAAGTTCTTTGACTGGAGGAGGAGATCACTGAAATCTAGGATACTCTTAAAACTGAGAGGCTGAGGTGAAGAGGAGGAGGACCCAGGAAAGGAGGCTAAAAAGGAATGAATGGTTAGGTAGGAAGAACACCGAGATAATGTGGTATCCTGAAGGCTACGGGAAGAAAGTTTGCAAGGAGCAGGGAGTGATCAACTCTGTCAAATGCTGTTGCCAGACCAAGTAGGAAGAAGAACGACAACTGTCCACTGGACTTAGCAGTACAAAGGCCATTCTGGCAAGCAGAAAAACGGGGCAGCAGTTGGTGGGGCTGGGGAATGGCCAAGCAAGAGTTTTTCTTAAAATGAGAGAAGTAAGTATGCCTTAAAAGAAAATGTGATGCCTGTAAATGAACAAATGTCACCCCACAACCTTGGCCGACAAAGAAAAGGTAGAGTTTAAACCACTTCGGTTCTTGTGGCCTCTAAGCAACAGTATGCTAAAACCTCCTAATCAACCATGTTCTAGAAATGAGACTATTATAATCTTGATGAACAGGAAGAACCCCCAATAAACTGAATTTTAGTACTTCACATTAAGATGAGAAAGAGATAAGAAAACAAGGCCACAATTTAGTGCAGCCATTAAAGAAGAATTTATATACGATCTCTCTTTTTACCACCGTAAGAACAGTAACAGTGAAAATGATGATCCAGAATCAAAACAAGTATTTTCAATATATTTTTGACTAAAGCAAAAAGTGGGTAGATACATTTTATTTTCAAAGATTTTAATTTTTTTAAGAAGATTTAAAAATATGTTTTTAAGTTTATTTATTTTGAGATAGAGTGTGCATGAGCAAGTGGGGGAGGGGCAGAGAGTGAGAGGGGGAGAGAGAGAATCCCAAGCAGGCTCTGCACTGTCAGTGCAGAGCCCAATGCAGGGCTCAAACCCAGGAACTGGGAGATCATGACCTGAGCCGAAGTCAGACGCTTAACTGACTGAACCACCCGGGCGCCCCACTTTTTTCTTTTTAAGTAGGCTTCACGCTTAGCACAGAGCCCACAGCGGGGCCTGAACTCACAAATCCAAGATCAAGACCTGAGCTGAGATCAAGAGTCTGACACTTAAGTGACTGAGCCACCCAGGCACCACCCCCACTCCACCCAGGCAGTAGATACAATTTAGAAAAAAATTACAAAGGCTAAAATTCTGAGTTAATTAAATAGTGCATTCTCCAAGCAGTCCAACTCAATGAAGTACGCTAAGGAAATAGAGCTGGACAGTCACTGACCACATCTAACCCCGTCTCGCGTTAAGTTTATGACTGCACAGGGCCAGAGTTCCTTGCATGTGAGCCACACACTTCCAATCTTTTTTTTTTCTTTTTTTAAACACTTTGTTTTTAAGTAAATCTCTACACCCAACACGGGGCTCGAACTTACAACCCCAAGATCAGCAGTCATATGCTCTACCAACTGAGCCAGCCAGGCACACCCTTCCCCCCCGGCACACACACACACTTCCAATCTTGGTCAATTCTTCCTCTCTTCTTCAAGACACCTATTCCACGTTTACTTCTCACCAAAAGCACAACTGCCAAAAACCTCTAGACAGCCAAATCCAGTGGTCAGTTCTTGTCCTCCCAGAAACATTTTACACAACTTGAGTCTTACCTTTGTTCAGATATTTATATTTCTGCATCCTTTCCTTGGACTCCAGACTCCTACAACTGTCCAGTCCACATCTCACCTGAACACCTAAACACCCGTGGCAAACTCGGCCTGCCTGTAACAGAACTTCCGTTTTCTCGGCAAAACCTGCTGCTCCTCCGAGTCTTCCAAATCTCAGGAAGACTCAACACCCAACTGTTTAGGACTCCTCTTTACCTTGAATGTCTGACAAACAAGTCCTGTTGGTTCCATCTTCAAAATACACAATCCCCGACAGTCGCCTGCCCTTACTTACACTGTTCTACGACACCACATCTTGTCTGCGAACTACTCCAATAGCCTCCCTGTTTCTTCTTTTGCCACCATCTCCCCTCCCGACACATACAGACCATCTCCCACGCAACAGCTACGCCGATCTTTTAAAAATGTGAATTGTTATATCACTGTTATTCTGTTCACATCCTCCAATTAATTCTTTAAAATAATCCTCCAAGGAAAAGTGAGGCTATACGCAACAAGATTTTAAAAGGTGAGATACTTACTAAAACGAGGTGATTAGTACACTATATACTATTTTGACACATTTGACAATTTCCACAATAGACAAGCTTAAAAAAACGCGAATGGCTTTTCATCATACTTAACATCTAAATTTCCTGCCCTGGACGGCCAAACAAGGCCCACCTGTGACCTCCTTTCCTCTGCACCAGCCTCTCCCTCATTCTGCAGTCATGCCGGCCTTTCTAGTGTTCACAACATAAACACATGCAGTCTTTCACAACTGTCTCCCTTCCATTCACCCATGCCCCAAATTCACGCTCCTTCAACTGTTAATTCAGGTCTGTACTCAAAAGTCACATACGCGAAGAGGCAAGACTCTCTTATGTAGAAAGGCCCCCGTCCCACTGTTCCTCTGTCCCCTCATCTTCCTTTATTTTTCTTCTCAGTACCTCACTACCAAAAGCTATACATGTATTTATCGTCCATCTCCACTGTCAGAGCGAAACTCCGTGAAAATACAAAGTCGCCCTCATCACATCACCATGGTCTCCAAGAGGACCACGCTACATGGTCTAATATTCGTAAATGAATAGGTAATAATGTCGCCACAGGTACCACAGACTATACCAAATGGCAAGAACAAACTGTTTTTGGGTGACGCATCCCATAATGCTGTTCACAAAGTGGATAACCTATACCCACACTGAACGCCTATTACAACTTGGGTCACTTGCTCCTAATAAAAATCAAGTATTATCAAAATGCAGAACTTACTGGCGTGAGCTGCTGAGAATTTAACAACTGCTGAAACTGCTGTTGGTGAAGATATATCTGTCTTTGCTGGTCAGAAAGTAATCCTAGTCCTGAGGCACTGAAAAACGATTACAATTCTTACTTTCTACTAGATACCTTTAATGGTTTTTAACATGTAAAATGAAAGACAACTTTACAACTTGACGTTCAATAAGTTAGCAAAGTCAAATTTTTAAACACAACACTTTCTGATCACAAAATCATGTACAAATATCTTATTTCCCTTTCTCTCTGTATACAGATAAACAAGAATTCACATTGTCAAGAAACGTTTTGTTTTCCTTCTTATTATAAACCAAGAAGGCACTAAGTAGTTTATGGAATAGAAATTTAAATGTGTTTGTAACATGCATGTAATAATTTTTATTTGTTTAAGGAGAATTTAACCCATACTAAGTAAGACATATGTAAAACAAAGAAAGAATTTCAACTACTAATTGACTTGACCTAACCTTTTTTTTTTAATGGTCCCAATGGTCAGTAAAATTAAGCACCAATCAAAAGGGAGCCAGAAGAAATAGTTTACTAGTATCCCCTGCAATCCATTTAAAATGATTTATTCCTCAAAAGTATGTTCGTTAACAACATGGCTTTAGCCTCCCTATTTTGAAGTCAAATGGAATGCCAGTACAATGAAACAGTTTCACTCACTGGAAATTCAAGATAAATATTTGACCTTCACCGGTACCAAAAGCTTTGATTATAAAATTAGCAAAATTGCATAGCTCAATTTTAAGAAATCAATATTCATATGTGATCTCATTACAATACTGGTTTTCTTCGGAATTTATGAAACATGACGGTATTGTAAGGGGATGAAGGTACAAGGGGAGAGAACACAGATCAAGAATGAAATTTTTCGCACAGAATATATTTCATGCTTTGCTACTAACAGTGATTTCTTTTTGTTTTAATCTGAATGACTTAAGTTTCAAAAACAGTTCTCGCAATAACACAGTTGGCCTAGAAGTTTGCTGGATTTTAATTTCTTTGACTGCATCTACAAGAAGCACATTAAAACTCCCAATCTAACGCATGGACAGCACTAGTACTGTGTGGCACGGAAAAACCCAAAGTATAATTAAGTGGAGTTTCTTACCTGTTAGTCAGTGTGGCTGGCATTGGATGTGTTGCATTAGGTGGTACAGTGGTGTGGGTGAGGGGGGTAGGGTTCTGTGATATTGTGACAGGGGTCTGAATAACCCCATTTAAAGCTCCTACAATGCCATTAATTGCCAGTTGGTTACCTGGCAAAGCTCCAATTATTCCACCCACTCCAGGCACTGCAGGAATGGTGGATGTTACAGTCTGCATTCCACCAGCCAGTGCCCCCACTGTCACACCATTGACCTGCTGAACTCCGCTAACGCCTGAGCCCGGCTGCGCTGGACTCTGCCCAGCGGGAGGTGGGGTAGAAAGAGCAGAAGAGCTGCTGGTGCTCTGTCCACTGGAGGTCAAGTCCTAATGCAAGAAGGAACAGAAACTTAAGTGTGGAAGAACACAGCAGAACTGTGTAATATCATTTGAAGCCATTCAATGGGATCTACTATTGTTCATCAGAAAAACACAGAAACTAACCACACCCAAATTACCTGATTTAACACAGGAAGAGAATTATCAGGTAAAAAGCTGTTTCCCAGATGAGGGCTCTTACTGCTGTTCAAGGAATCAGTAGTAGGAGCTAGAATAATAAAAGACAAAAAGAAACCTATTTACCCTGTTAAATTACGTCATGTGTAAGATTAAAGGCTTATCTAAAAAGCTTATCCTGAAGCCCACATTAAAAACACTTAAATATTAAGTCTTGCTATTTCTAATACCAGTTTAAATGGGAAAATCTATACCTCTATTGAAGACTATGGCTTTAAATCAATAGAGATCACTACACATTTAAATAACTATTATCGTTAAATTATGTACTAAAGAAGTCAGAGCAAATTCAAGTCGATCACTTAACAGATTCTTCACGTTCTCTGAGAATAAGCTATCATTCCTTCTCTTAACCATCTTCATGTAACTGGTAACCAGTTATTATTCACTTATTATGAAAAAGATATTGAGAGTCTATCCTACTTTCCCTTAGATACAAAATAAAACAAACAAAATTTCACACTTACCATTCTGTGCTGAAAATGCATGCATTTGATGAGATGGGCTAGGATTTGTCGTTATTGTTGGAAAAGGCACTGAGAGCTGTGCATTCAGTAACTGAAGACGTTCTTTTTTGGCTGTCAAGTTTTTAATCTGTTCTTCTAATCTTCGATTTTCAACTTGAAGTTGATGTAATGACTTCAGCATTCCTAAAACTAGCAAACATTTGGATGGCTTTAATAAGGACAAGTTCCCACACACGACTAAGTATTTTACAGACCTAAGTGTCAATAACTTTAGAAATAAGTTAAAATAGGAAAGCGGAAATTCTGTAAAGCACTTTTATATTACTAGGTTTTATTTCTAAATTTCCTTTTATTTCTAAATTTATATGTAGATATAAATTGGGAAATAAGTAAATACAGCATAACGTATGTGTGTGTATGTAAGCATAAAGGGATAGTGGGCCTGGATAATACCTTCTGGAAACTTTGTTGCCACGTATCAAAAAAATCCACCCACCTGGTTCAGGTAATTTCCATTTCTCAAACAAAACTGATAGGACGTTTACGTTTTATTCTCGCCAAAATAAAAACCTAATCACAAAGTCCAAGTGCCTGCCCCAATCTTTCATTCAAATCGTAGTTCAGATGGGAAAGAATCCCTCCAATATCCCTCACCGCAATCAAGAGCGCAAGTGCGTGCGCGCTGCTCGGTTCCGCTCAGCGAGGGCGAGCCGCCCGGCCTGCTGCTGCTGCACACGTTGCCCAGCAGGGAGCAGTGTGCGCGCACCGCAGCCCACATCCCAACTCCCACAGGAAGGCGTGTGCTGTCTGTAAACGAGGCCGTTTCCATCCGGCCTCGTCACCTCAAATACAGTTTCGATTCCTTCCACAACTCGGACGTCTCGACTGACAACACAGAGTAGTTATGGCAGGGTGATGGACGCTTTAAAAGTTCTATGTACGTATTAAAAGTTGTATTTGTTTAACATGCCCTCAGGGCCTTCGGAAGACACAACTGTACTGGTACAGCCGTCTGTGGTCATTTCCCAAGGATTTAACTTTTATCCCTCCTCTTCAAAATCCCACAAAGAAGCCCTTAGTGTACCCAAATGAGATGCAATAAGACTAAGCTAAACCTGTCCTCCAGCTATCATGTTTAAAGGATTATCCCGGCATGAATTTCCTCACAATTAGCATTTTTTGTCAAGGCACCATTCACAAAAAAAAAAAAAAAAAAAAAAAAAAAAAAAAAACCAAAAAACAAAAAAAAACAAACAAACAACAAAAAAAAACAATTTATGGCACTTGTCTACTAACAAGAAGCAAAATGTTTTGTTTTAATATAATAAAGCAGCAAAAGTTTATATCCCCAAATGATAAAAAACCATCTATTTTTTCCCCCAAAAATATATATCTTTAACACTATCCCAGCTTCTCCAGCTACCTACCACTTACAGGAACTTTGCTTTTTTGGCTTTTTTCACCCATGGCCCTCCATAATACTTAGCACTGGAAATACTAAATATGTATACAAAGATATATATATGGGTATAGATATAGATATAGATACATGATACAACTTAATAAGTGAATATTTAATGAATGAAAATTGTATGTAATTTAGTAATCGTTATTCTTGCTCATCTAAATTGTAAAATTAGGAAGACAGCTTGCCATACTTGACTATATGCATTTTTAAAAATGAATTCTCTAGAGGTAAGCAAGTTTTCTTCCAACAAGTGAAGAGAAGATGTAACTCACGTGTTTTAGTAAAATGTGAAAACTGGTAAGAACAAAGCACCAACGTTAAACTAATTCAAAAGAGTAATAATAACCACTCAACAGATAAGTGCTTACTATGAGCTAGGCAATGTTCTTCACATTTTTTATGTCATTTAATCCTCAAAACAACACTATGATATAGGTACATTATTATTCCCATTCTACAAATGGGAGATTAAAGCATACTGACATCAAGAAATTTGCCCAAGATCATATTGTTAAGAACAGGTAAAGTGAAGTCCAGTAGTAAAACTGTAGAATCCCTATTAAACCACCACTCTATACTTTCTCACCATATTACAGAAAACATATTTCATAATTTCACTGCTACTCCTGATGAAGTGTGTCTGTTACATCCATCCATCTGTCTGTCTGTCCATCTATCTTTCTGTAAAGACATGAAAAGAATACTTACTGTCACTAGGAGTACCCTGTTCTAATAAAAACTGCTGTCCTTCACTCCACTGCCTCTCCAAAAGCTGTTCTATGCTGGCTGCTACTGGAGGCAGATTTTCCAAACTGCTGTTGACTGGTTGATCATAGCGAATCTGTAAGCTGCTTACAGGAGATCTGTTGAAAATATTAACTCTCAGGTTAAACAGAAAGAGAGTGCATTTACGCTTCTTACCTTATGCTGGCCCGTTTCCCGTACAAGTTTTCTAACTCTAGGCTGCCTATGCTGGAAGAATGATAAAACCATTATCCACCCTAAAATTGAGTAATTACCATTCTTCCTCCCCAAATTATAAAAATCACAGGAATAGCTGGCTAGAGTCAGTAATTAAAAACCACTAGAACACATAAACACAACACCAATAATCTCTGAAATAAGCTGTAAAAGAACTTGATACAGCCTTAGACAAAGGAGGGAAAGATAGTATTAGAAAACTTTAAAATAATTAGCCAGAAAAGAAGAGTTCCACAATTCTGCTTTAATATGCAAAACACCAGAGGAACACTGTACAATTATAATAATGTAGAAAGCATTTTAATACACAATCAACAGAATCTCAAATATCAGTAAAAAGAAATTTTTAATGATTTTGAAGGAACCCTTTGTTTTAAAGTAAAAAATACTTATTTTCTAGTATTTTCAGGATTAAGGAGCATTAGCAAGACCAAAGTAAATTTTTATTTGAGCCCTTTATACACATTTTTCTAAAACGTCTTAGAACTGTACTTCAAATGGTAATAACTTAACTCTTTCAAAGCAAATATTACTTATATTAAGATAAATATATAATGTTCTCTCGTCCACTTTTTGTCTTAAATTAGTAAGCATGCCCATTTCTGGTCTCCAGCCTCTACACTAACATAATATATTAGTAAAGGGCTTTGGAGTTTCCAAAGTGTTTCCATGTAATTATCTCATATGATCGTCACAACGAGAGAGAGAGAGAGAGAGAGAGAGAGAGAGAGAGAGAGAGAGAGAAAGTCAAAAGCGTGGCTTATTGGTTCCATTTCTACAGGAGGAAACAAGATGGGGCTTTAGTGACTTGTCCAAAGACACACTGCCAGTAAATGGCAGAACTGGGGCCACAACTCAGGTCTCTTAACAACCACCGGTGTTCTGCCACTGCCTCAGTATGCTTCTCTATAAAAATCTCTTTGAACAACAAGTTAGACAAATGAGGTTTTTTATTCTACACATAAACATCACATGCTACATATAGTTGACCATCCCTCTTCAAATAATACATTATGCCAGGATACTTTAGGCTATTACATGTCAGGCTGATTTTTAAAGGATAACATAAAGTTGGAAATATATGCTAAAAATAATTTAGTATGATTTATTGTTGGAAATTCCATTTAGCTAATGAAAACCTGAGAACTACTGTGCTAAGCAAAATAGCACTAAGGGATCTCGCAGAATTTCTGGGTAGTTTCTAGGATATTTTAAGAGGGGAACATGGACATGCTTCCTCCACTAAACACACGAGCAAAAGTCCGCCTAGTTTTCTACTTTGAAAAGAAGAATAATAGAATAGTACAGAAGTAATCACAGCATAAAATTACAAATTAGTCGGTTGATGTTATCGTGTGCTTCTGATTCCTAGTTTCAAAAGAAGAAATATTTCATTTCCTATAGTGCTCAATTATGAAAAATACTACTACTTTTAGGTCATCCAAGAATTTTATAGGAAAAGACACACCTAGTGGTACCACTAGAAAATAGCAAAATTCGACGTTACTGAACTAATCTACTGATAAAGATGTTCCTTAACAGACTTTACCAATATATCAGCAATACAACAACAGATACTAACAGTATCATCGCATGAAAAATTTAATTTTTAATAGAATTTTTAAGTTTGCATAGTTGAAAAAAAAAAAAAAGACTCCAGAATGGGCTTTTCCCTCCTTCTGTTCTCCATTCTCACCCAGTCTAACCATGCTTGAGGCACAGTTTACAAAATTAGACAGCAGAGAGAGAGCAAACAAACTAGAAGAAGGTATAGAAGTTAAAAGTTGTATATAATTAATAAAAAGAGAGCTAGGGCCTAAAGTTCGACTGTTTTCCATAAGCTGGCACAATATTCCCTTCTGCCATTCTCCCCACTGAGAACAGAAGATGTGGGCATTTAGACTGTGCTCAGAAAAATTCAACCATTTCAGTAGAACTTTGCTAAGAGTGTCCTGCTAACTTCTTTATCTCCTATCAGAGATATTTAAGGCACCTAAGTTCGTTCAGATAATATCTAAGACAATTTTACAGAACGAATGTAAAACACTTATTATACTTTGATTCAAACAATTTTAGGAACTGGAGGGATTTTACTTTATTTTATTTAGTTTATTTTTTTTAGGCATCTCTACACCGAATGTAGGGCTCGAACTTACGACCCCAAGATCTAGAGTCCCATGCTCTTCCGACTGAGCTACCCAGGAGCCCCGAGAAGTAGAGGGAATTCAGAAATGAGCCCCAAGAACTAGGAACCAGAGATGAAAGGGTTCAAGTGCATTGCCTACAACAGAGCTAAAACTGGAACCCTAAGTTGAAAGCCTGGAGTCGGTAGCTTCAAGAGGTTTTAAAGACTATCTCATAACCAAAAAGAATTAGCCAAATTAACGTATTTAACAGTACCAGTCGCTAAATGTACAAATGATAAAAACAAGAGAGTTCAAATTGACTGGAAATCTAAGAAAAGGTAGGTCCTTCTAAAAGCTTAAAGTCTAACCATGTGTTTAAATTAATATTCAAATTAATTGAGAATCATTTTTCTTGACTGTCCAGACATGCTTCTTATCTACAGAATGCTTTTACAGCCTCACAAATGTGTGCTCTGATAGGAGATAAAGTAGTTTCCAAATCTCCAAACGTCTCCTTTGCCTCGCCTCTGCAGAGTAAACAGCGCTTACCGCGGTGAGAGACTTCCTCGGGGTGAGCTTCCTCTGCCAGCAAGGCTGCGGCCATTGTCTCCGAGATCTTGATCTGCAGTGTAAATATTTCATAGCTGATAAAGTGACTCTCACTAGATAAGAGGTTTTAAGCTCTTGCCCTGATTTTCCCTAAAACGTACATAAAACCTTTACCACTACTTTGCAGTTACTCTGAAAGTAGATCTAGTATGTTGCTAGTTCAGAATTGCTGAACTGTGGCATGTAAGGCGTTGTCCCTACACGTTTTTGTGGGTGTAGAAGGCCATGGATTATGTTCCGTTCTTTCATTCCTTTCAATTTTACAGCACAGAAGCGTGGTTTGCATTTGCAGTACCCTCCCCTCAGCCACTTTTAATTTCTACGGTTAAAGTAATGAATCACAGCTGTGGACAGCTAATCTGTATGCTTATCACAGCAAATCCTTATGCTTTGTATTTTTTAACACTTTGCATCCCAAGACAAGTCATCAAGTACATAGTGTACGACATAAAGCCACACACCATAACTAAAATTACACATATTACACGGATCCTCACACCAAGAATAAAGTTAAACATAACACTAAATATTTAAATTGACAAAAACAAGTAGGAAGATAGCATGCTGGACTTAAAAGGAAAAAATTAATTTCTTCAAAATAATTCTTAGGTAACACCAAATATCTCTGCTTGACAAGTAACCTGTGTCTCCCCTACAGTCAGTTCCTTATAAAATCACCCTATCTGGCCTCTTTCAAGGTTGTCCTCCCCTTATTCTGAGTCAGGTAACCTCTGACCTGAAAGGGTAAAGACATGACTGATCCATTCTTGGTGAACTGCTAAACCCATTCCCTTCCCCCAAACAGGCATGACTATTTGGACATGTCAACAAATCCTTAAGGATGGAATGAAACAAAGCAAATCCAGTGGCTCATTAAAACAGTACAAGAGGCAAATGCTACAAAATGTCAACTGGTAAAAATTCACAGGATTACTAAACACTGTAGAAATTCTCTAACAGGATTTTTTTTTAACCAAGTTTGTGTAATGCAATTTCATGAATTATGCAAATAAAGGTTTAGGCTATTCACAGGAAAGCCCAGTGTTATGTTACTTTCATTGCACAGAACTGAGAACTGAACACATCAATCACAAAAGTCACAGGAGACATTGTTGCATTCCTGCCTGCTGATGGCTCTGCTTAAACATTTACATTTCAGACAGTAAAAAAAAGCACATCACTATTTTGCAGCACCGCACACTATTTACTTCCAACTGTGACTCTTTTGGTTGGGGGTGGGGGGTGGGCACAATCCTGTATTAACCACACCTTTAGACTTTTCAAAGAAAATGAGCCAAAGGCAGGGATTGGGGGGGGGGGG